AACCAACCAACCAACCAACCAACCACCGAACGACCACCAACCACCAACCACCAACGACCACCCGCCGCCACCGCCACCGCCACCGCCACCGCCACCGCCACCGCCATCGCCACCGCCATCGCCATCGCCATCGGCATCGCCATCGCCATCGCCATCGCCATCGCCGCCGCCACCATTGTCACCGTCACTGTCACCGCCACGCCACCACCATGACCACCATCACCACCTTCATCGCGGCCACCGCCATCTTCATCACCACCACCGTCTCCACCACAACTATGACTAAAACCACCACCACCACCACCATCAGCACCACCACCTTCACCACTATCACCGCCATCATGGCCACCATCACCACCATCACTACCATCACTGCCACCACCATTATCACAATCACCACCCGCACCACCGCCGCCGCCAGCATCATCACCAGCATCATCACCACCTTCATCTCCCATCACCACGATTACCAGCTTCATCACCACCATCATGTCTCTGTGGAAACCAACACGTCTACTGTAGATCTCCAGACCTTCTGTTTCTACACCTCTAGACCTTTGGACGTCTATTGGCGGATATATTATTTGGAAACTAATGCTGGACCTCCAGCACGTATATGCATATGTTTCAGGCTGCGCAAATCCTGTATTTGTGCATCTTCCAGTGCAAGGAAGAACCATTCATATTATATTAGGATGCAATAAACCAAACCTCATCACCACAGAAGGTCTGTGAGGCAAGTCATGACCTCGGCATCATTAGCCTCAGGCTTGGCTTGCTCCTTATTTGAGCGGCTTTCCAAGGCTGGATGCTCAGCACCGTCAACCCCGGTTGATATTGTTCCGTCAGTCAGAAGCTAACCTTCTTGAGTGAGTCCTACGCGAAGAGGAGGGATCAGTATCAGCTGCAGTGCTAAAGGACTTGGTCCTCCCAAAGCCTTGACCAGCTCAGGCAGCTGATTGGCTCCCAAATGAAGAGGAACCTACCCGACAGCAGGCAGTCGAATTAGATACATCAACACTTTAATAATAACATATTCATATTATTGTTGTCCCCCGAAGGTACAACTCCCTTTTCCCACAAAGATGCCGCGATTCAAAAGAGGGATCAACATGTGGCTCGAAGCTAGCCACAGAGCAGCTATAGGCTATAAGAATTACTCCTGCACGCTCTTCTTTTTGCATGCGCACGGTTTGCCATGGTGAGGAAACAAAAGGTCAAGGAGTCTAAGGAATCCAAGAAGACTGAACACTTTGAAGATCTTCTTGGCGATGGCCCTGAAGAGCAAGAGTTGTCGGTGTCAAAGAAACTTGGATCAAAGGGCGGTCAGAAGCCAGCAAATTTTCCACGAAGGATGATCAGAGGCCACCGCACGGAAGTGACTAGTGACCTTTATACTAGTATTTCAAACCTATCCAACTGTTTGTTTGTAGTGCTGCTCCAGGAAATATGCAAAAAAGTACAACGAGAAGATGGACAAGATTGAGGCGGCTCGAGCCGCAAAGCTCCTCGGACGTGCCATGATTTGTATACATTGAATGCTTTCCACGTCGTCGTGCAGAACGATTTCTCAGGTTCAGATTCTCTCTCTATATATATACTGTACTGTATATATATATATATTTGCTTTGATCTCAACTAATAACTGCACAACATATCAAAGTTCACTAAACATGTTTGGAACGAAGATAATGCCAAGGCTCCATTTGTCAGAGCAAAGCGCGCTTAATTGTACCTGGTTTTTCAATGTAACATGCGCAACGAAGGATCTTGGCAGATGAAGATATTGCTAGCAATAGTTCTGAAGAGTCCACCGAAGATGAGAACGCGGACTTGCTGACTGGGAAAGTCGAAACAAAGATTTTCGATACTTTGTCAAGGATCAAGGCCAAAGATCCAAGTATCTATGATGCTTGCCCTGTAGAGGAGGAACACTTTTGATCGTTCCTTGATTGTTTCTTCTCATACTCTGCTTGGAAGCTGCTTTTAAGTCTATACATCGGCACCAAGGACAGCAAAACGACCTTCTTTACTGATGATGACTTCAAGGCGGAGGCTGCTTCCAAAGGAAATCAAAAGAAAAGCGAAGAGAAGTCGACGTACAAGAATTTTATTCGGAAAACACTGATGCAAGAGGGTGCTGATGCCATTGCGCGAGAAGAAGAGGAGATGGAGAGCAAGAAGAAAAAGAAAAACAAGAAGACACCTGCTGAAGAACAAAGAGATCTTCAAGCGGAAATCCGTGCCGCTGCAAATTCTGCCGAAACTGATGATCAAGACCTTTTTTCCATCAAAGAGCAGACTGCTGAAGAAACTTTACCGTACCGTTAGAAGCTTGTTGATTTGCAGTTTGACTAGTTGCCTACTAAAATTCTTTGTCCCAAGTTCTGCATGGTCCACAAGTCTCATAGCTGCCAAGGAAAGGGAACAGCAGGATGAAGAATTTGCGCGCTTCCAAGCAAAGTCAGAGCGAAGAGCTGACAACGCAGATTCAGTGATGTCGAACTACTGGCGTGCTGATGAAGACCTGGATGAAGATGAACAATTTCTGCGCGACTATGTGATGAACCGTCAATGGCTTGAGACCGATTCCTTGTGACTTGAATTCATGTAATTCCATTCTATGTTTCTTTTCTTTGCATGTTTTTTTGCTGACTCATACGGGCAGCAAGGCAGCCTGCTTCAACCAAAGACGCATTGGACATGGATCTTGACGAGGAGCAAGATGATGACCATTTGGACGAGGCAGATGAATTTGAAAAGGACTACAACTTTCGTTTTGAGGTGGAAGCGGGAAGGCCAGGGGTGCGAAGAAATTCGGCATTTGTCAAGTGTTTCTTAGTATTCCCGTCATGTCGTGAGTTCCTGATTCTTTAATATTCAGTTGGCCGATATTCACCAAAGAAACCCATCGAGTTCCAACAACATGTTTCTGCTGGCTTGGACAATCCACTGCACGTGCAAATCTTTTGTGACCAAACCTCAGGTAAGACAACTTGCAAAACTGTCGTGCATTTAAGGCACTGACTCACCGATGCCAGAGGTAGTTAGTGTTTGTGTGTGTAACCCTTGGAATCATAGGGAGCATTTTGGCCTTTTTTAGAACGCAGGGGAGTGGTGCGCAGTCTTGGAGTCACCACTCAAGGAAGACACTCCTCGCACTGCGATGATATTTGGAGGGGAGGCCTTCTGGACGTACCTGCTTAGTTGTGGCGCTTCTAGACACGTACTGTACCATTCCAAATCCAGGCTGCGGCTGGTTAGGTGGAGGTAGGTCGGCAGTCATCTTTTGTGTTTCGTGCGTTTTGAGCTAGCCTTGGAGATACTGTAGTTGAAAACCTTTGGACACTTTTGTTGGACTTGGAACTTTTTGATGTTTGGACCTCGTTACATATGATACGTTTAGGCCTTTCACTTAGTTTGGCTTCTTCAGGGACTTGCAATCAAATGGAATGTATATATTTATCTTGAGTGTGTGTTTGCGTGTGTGTGGGAAACATTGACCTTTGAACTTCCCAAACAGTGGCCAGCGTTCGCCAACAAAAGTACATTGTTCTATATAACCGTTGCTTTACTTTTCTTACATTCAGCATTGTTTGCGTCTTGACAATGTAAACAGACTCATAGATTTTGTGCCATATTATTTACCCTGCAGGCAGATCCAGGGTCATGCACGCTTCCCTGAGAATTCCGTGCGCGAGAGAAATGACAAAAGGAAGAGACAGCGGAAAGAAAAAGCAGAGAGGAAAGACGCCGAAAAGATCCGACGGACAGAAGAGTTAAAGAGATCTTCAATTTGGTTAATCGTGATGCTTTCTTATGTAACATTAATTTGGATTCCCCCAAAAAGGAGACGTGACTCCGCTACCACGCATCCAGTGAAACGCCAAGTTGAATAAATCCGAATACTGGAACAGTTGGGCACAGATTGGTCCAACCATTCAGTCAGAGCGGTTTTTTTTCGGTGTTAGGTTGAAAACTGAAACCGGGAGTTTGTTTCTTGTTGTTGAGTGGAGAATGATTGTGAGCCAGCCGACCAAGGATTAAAGAATCTCAAAAAGCAGGAGATTCAGCGACGGCTTGAACAGATTCGTGAGATCACAGGACGATCAGGGCGCCGTTTTGCGGGGTGAGTATTATGAACATGACTTGAGAGTCTCTCAGTAAATGCATTGTATCACATGGATCCAACTGCGCTGCATTATTAATTATTGTTCTATTATTTTTTGGACATGCACTTTCAGCCATTGCACTGCTTGTGGTGAATGAAGCAGACCAGCCAACCTTTCTGCAAAGCTCATGTCATTCCAGCTTTTCCACCGTTGCTGATCGTTTTGCATCTCCAGTGCGGCCAAACTCGTTCATTCTCTTAATATTATCATTGAATGCTTTAGGGGTGCTATCTAAAGGGCCTGTGCTGGTCTATTGGGATCTGCGTTGGGGCGTTGCCTGGCAACCAGAAACCAAATTGGCAGGAAATGAAGATACAGGCCTCGAGTCTACTGACCTTGATAAAGACTTTGATCCTCAGAAGCATGATGAGACTATGGCCCAAGTTTTGGGTGAGGACAGGTCACGGCATGTCAAAAACATGCTAAACATGCTATGTTTGTTCAGCACCGCTGGACTGATTTATCGACATGTGGTATTCATGTGGGGGTTGTAAGATGTTGTAAGGAATGCTAAACATTGCAAAGCCTGTCTTGTTCAACGCTTCCTTGCGATTGAAGCAGCTGAGAGATGAGAGCAATGCACCTGAAAGGACTATGATGAGAAAGAAGAGGTCTTATCATCCAAGGAACTTGTTCGGGGACACAGCGGGTATACAGATCTTGATGTATCAAGCGCTGCTGCGGAAGGTTTGCAGAAACATTGGGGTGTTAGTCCTGAACAGCAGGAGGACGGCGAGCAAGATGATGGATACAGAAATGAAGAGGTTGAAGATGGTACAAAAGAAGAAGAGGAAGAACATCCGGACCTTTGGTTTTTATGTGATGGATGCAAGCTGCCGATCCCAGGAGGAAAGAGACGCTTTGACTGTGCGGTCTGTGAGAACTTTACATTATGTATTAAATGCTTTCGCATTCGTCGCCATCCGCATAAATTCATTCGACGACGGGTCCCAGAAAGTTGCACACCACCAGAGGACTTCAAAGGAATGCAGTTCGGAACTGGTGACGGGGACAAGTCTTTGGATGAATACTTCCAGCTCGACTATGAGGACATTATTGGTGGAGACTTGCCGACCAGATTCAAGTATCGGAAAGTTGAGCCGAACGACTATGGCATTCCGGCACATGTGATTTTGTCGAAAACCGGCAAAGAGCTGAACCAAATGGTTTCTTTGAAGAAACTTCGGCCATATCGAGAGGATGAGGAGGGATACCAATCCAGCAAAAAGCGAAAGAAGGAAGGCAAGGGGCAAGAAGGTAAGGGACGAGGAAAGGGAAGCAGCAGAGGTCGTGGGAAGGGGGACGGAGGAGACAAGGTGCATGCCAAGAAGGGCTCAAAGAAGGATCGGAATGAGAAAGGTTTCTCCACTGGCATTTAATGAGCATATCCATCTTCAAAGTTTTCTTCTATCCAATCCAATCCACATTAATACCCTCTTGATTCTTTTGTTCAGAACAGGCTTTCTTCACTGAGTTGGCAGCTCTTTGGCTTGCAACTAAGGTGACCAGGCAGCTGGAGATGACATCTTAAGCTCGACCCGATTCAAAGCCTACAACCTAGAGGGTGACAAGCGTGCTGGCAAGCAACAAAAGCAGAAAGGCGGTTCAAAGACAAAGAAGCCCCAAAGCTGAGGCTGAAGACTAGAAACGAATGTCTTGTTGCTTCTACCTGAAGATCCCATTGTCCAACAAGATGCTCATGGAGCACCCTGAACAGCGACCTTAACAACGAGCTCTTACAAAGAAGTTGGGATCCTTGATTTGCTGGATCCACACCTATTTTGATACCGCCTGACGGTGCGGTCGGCTGGCAGATTCGTTTCACACCATTTTGCCAAAAAAGTGCAAGGGACGCCCAATGAGAGCATGCACGCGACAATTTTTCCTGGAAGTCTCTGCCATGGGCTGCGAAATGCGAAGATCGGACGTTAGATGTTGGGAGGCCTACAATGAATTCTGCAAGCCAAAAAATACCTCCAGATTTGGGGGGCCTTCAGGCACTGTTCGGAACTGTTTTTGAACCGCAGCATATTCTCAGGAACCTCAGGAGCCTAAGAAGTCGAACTCAAACGAGGCCTGGCGATGTAGGCCATGTCTTGCACAGAGCCATTGCTGTTTAAATTTGTGGCACAAAGGAATTTCTGCATGATTTTACACCTGATACATAGTGAGAGTGCTTCGTGGAGACTCCCCGCATCCTTTGCTCGCAGGGTTCGGAGCGTGGGCTCTTGGTCTACCAGGCGCCTCGTGAACCCTCTCTAGGTTGACCAGGCTGAGCAGCTGGATCTGGATGTAACCCGCGATAGATCTTTGAGATGCGGAATATGTTCGAATTGTTCAAGCTTCATCAAGCTTCCAATCTTGGTGCCCTGCAAGGCTTTCCAAAGTCTTCGAACAGGCGTGCTGAACAAAAGGGACTTGACATCTTGTGCAGCAATGAATTTTAGTACAGTTTACAGTGCACTCAGTCAACCTCCAGATGGCATAGTCTTCCAGCCAAGCATAAACCACAGTAGAGCGACCATGAACTAACTTGATGCAAGCTCCCTGTTGCCTGCAGACAGTTCTCTGCTTGCAGATCAATCATTCTTTTCTTGCTCCCGATTTCGAACAGATCTCCAGTGATCTCCAATGTTTCATGATTCAGCTGCATCCTTCTCAGGGAGCTCCGAATGCTTGACCTCACAGGCCTGAAGAATAGAGTGATTCACAGAGCAGTGAGCATTGAACATCGCAGCATCGGGGGGGTGGGGTAGGAGGCGAAAAGGCACCATTTGAGAGGGTGAACCCGGAGCTTGCCTGGGGAGAGCGCTCCAAAGCGAGGGTCAGAAAAGCAATGAACATGGGGTCTGGTGATGCGAGTGATGCACTGGACGCCGAGTAGTGCATCATTAGCATCATGAAGGGCTGTGAAGTCTATTTGGACAATGGGCATTGAGCACTGGAGTGGAGACAGGCACCCATCATCCTGGTCTCTACTATACTTGTACCGTTTCCTCGGTCGAGCGGATGCTTCTCGCGGCGTCCACGTGCACCGAACGTTGTTCCGGCTTGGTTGTGCAGCTAGATAGTACAGAATAGATTGATAGATCCATAGATCGTAGATAGATAGATGGATAGAGCTGGCTTGATGGATGGATAGTGATAGATAGATAGAAAGCAAGTTGTGCCTTGGAAGAAGCAGGGCAGAGTTGGCCGAAACCGTGTCCCAGAGTGGCTGGCGCAGGAGTTTATCAACCAACCCTGGAAGTCCCATACCAACTTGAACGTGGCTGACTGAAGCGTAAAACGCTTGGTTCAATAATGGCTGTGCAGTAACGGCTGCGCGGCTATGTTCAGTGGTGGCTCGACTTTTCTGATCAAAGTGGAACTGCTTGGATGTATTGGTTGGCAGCGACGAGTGCCTATCAGAAAAGGGCCCCGTGTAGATAGCAACTTGGTGGGGTGAAGAGATTGCTGTTTGAGGATGGGTCATAGTCACGGATCTGTGCAATATTTTTGGATGACGGTTGGTGACACCAATGCTGAGGCATATACAGGAGTTCCTGCCATCCTCCTAGTCATCCTTTCAGAGAAGTCTGGTTGGATGTATTGGGGCAAGTATAGTAGTTGGTTGGCAGCGACAAGTTGCTATCAGAAAAGGGGCCCGTGTAGATAGCAACTTCGTGGGGTGAAAAGATTAGCAAAAGACCCTCTCGTTTGGCGGCTGCTGGCTTTTGTTCCCCCCCTTCTCAGGTATATAAATCTGTCAAGGTTCCTCCCCCAGCAAAGGCTGTATGGCTGTCATGTTATTGTCCAATCAAAGCTGGAGCGTTGTGTGGTAGGTGCACTTTTCTAAGAAGGCTCAAGTGTTGATTCTCCGAGGATGTTGATTGCTTTGGCAACCTGCTTCGTTACAGGAAATGCTTGCTTTTGCCAAGCAGACGGGCTTTGAAGGCCCAAAAGAATCGTGTGGAGTCAAGCGAGATATGTGCCCAAGTGGCTTTCCCGGTATTTGCGTTTTGGCCTGCAAAGATGGCCGAATTCGTGGGGTGAGAGAGATTCACAGATAGAAGTTCAATGGATCCTTTGATCATTAAAGATGTCCTGGGTGCCAACAATTTGGACCCGTCATGGTGCGCCAAAGGTTGGTGATTCCCCTATAAGCCTATAAAATTCCAAGTGACCCGCAACTTACAGTATATAGCTTACCTTCCAAGTGGCTTATCTTAGCTTGCTTGCTGTTGTTGATTTGGTTTCCTTGTCAGGGTCCGACGCCGACTGGGAAGAAGAGTTCCAATCCCTGTGTCAGGAGTTAGGCGCGCTATTGTACTTCTGTCCAATATCTCTCACCCCCAGAGTTGCCAAGGGGGGGGCTGGACTTGTGCCAGGAATCAATGGAGTCGACCTGACTACATTTGGCCAGCTGGTGGATGATCGTTCCGAGCGAGGCCAGCAGATATCAGTGAAAGTGGAGATGGGAAGATAGGAAACACATGGAACGACAAGTGACAGTTTGTTCCTGTCCTTGGGGGAATATCCAAGTATATAACAGTACGTTGTGAGAATCGTTTTTCTTTTAGCCCACATATAATATACCAACAGCAATTGGGAGCTTGTACCAATATGGTACCTTATTACTCAATTCCATTTTTCTCAAGGAGAGTTCTTGTCAATGACACAAGAGCTTAAGCTTGCACCCTCTCGTTTGATTGGCATTGACAGGCTGCTATTGCACCAAAGAAGATCTCCAAAGCATCATCAGGCAGTTGGATGCAGCTTGCTTTCACCAAACTCATCGTTTGACACAGCTAATTCTGTTGATTGCATATTGCTAGAGGAGGCTTCGCATCCTTACATCTACATACATACCATTGTATATAGTATATATAGTATATAATGAACAGTGAACATGTGATGTGAAGATTCCGCAACGAGTCGCCTTTTTAGGTCGAGGTCACCTCCGGAGACTCACGCAACCAACGGGGCGATCACAGCGTCCTCCTCAGTGAAGAATGGGAAGCCAACGGTTCCACAGATTTTTACTTGTCTGGTTAGGTCCTTCCACCGGAGTGTCACCTTTTTGGATGAGAAATCACTGATTTTAGGCATGGCAATCTCATTTGATGAAGGACTTTAACATATTTTTTGCCATACAAGGATTGCAGGTAGCCGAAGAGATTGGATAGGAAGACGACCGTCCCTCTTCAACGGTGAATGCAGTGTAGAAAGAGCCATAGCTGGAAAAGAAGACCGACATAAAGAAAGAAAGGGTTTGAAGCAGGAAGTCTATGGAAGTTGACCAAACAGCTGTCAAAGCTCTGGCAGATCTGAGGCACCAAAATCCGTCCTTCTACGACAGCAATACCGGATGCATCCCAGCATGACCGCCTGCCTTAAACATGGCTTCGTGGCTTCTCGAGTTGACACCTTCCAAACCACTGTGGCTGTGACGTTGCACCAGTTGTCTGTATTTCAATAGTGATATGACGATAGAATCTCTGTCACTGTGGGCAGGAATAGCTTCCCATCTAAGCAGTTCTATGATGGCAAGGTGCCGTGAGGGGTATTCAGGACAGATGCAACTGCAGGAGGAGAGCTTCATTCGGCCACAAATTGAAAGTGACTTCGAACATCAACGAATTTGTGACTTCTGAGATGCTTGCAGCTCCTTCAATCCCTCGTTCAATATGTGTTCAGTGTCTCGATCCTGGCAGGTCTTCAGTGACAAGTCGACGATTTTTAGACCTGCAGGATTACTTGCCATGTCCCGAGAAGGACAGAATAAGTCAAAAGATGAGAAGGATGGGAAAGCAGAGGCATGCAACAAAATTTGTCACGATGCCAGCTGCATGACGGGCTCTCTTGACCACTCTGCTTTCCTGGTGTGTGTGATTGAGATGAGATGGGATTGCCAAGAGCTATGAATCATGATGAATCATCATGCATTTGGTTGCTTGGGCTTGATCATCTTGATCACCATCCATGCCTCGCTGAAATAGTTGAAACTCGTCTTGAGAATTCTAGGAATACATGCAGGGCTTCGTATGCTGCCCTCTGCTTATGCTTAGGCACATGGCTCCGGTGCACGTTGCCCAGTGCTGTTTTGGAGCTCCCCTGCCTCATTCCAGGAAGAGGCGGAGCAACTAACTCGCTCTAGTGGTTAACACTTGTTTTGCTTTGCTTTTTGTGAACGAAACCAAGCCTAGGGCCTAGGGGTTCTTTTCCTGCGTTGACAAGTTCTTGGTCGTTATTGTCGAGGAAGTCCTCGGCTTGGCCTGCTCTTTTGTGTAAGTTCACCAATCGTAGCAGTGGTTTTGATGGTTTTCAAACAGGCTCTTTGGATGGTTTTTAGTACGTTTTTTTTGCAAATGATTAGGTTTATACAAAAAGGGAACTGTTGAGAAGTCGCGGAGGCTGTTCTGCTTGGGGCGTAGGCGTCGTGTAAGCATTTTGCGTAGGTGGGTGTTGAAAGATTTGCGTAGGCAGTCTTGCGTAGGCACCCTTTTCATGAAAGCCTGAATTTTCTTATTCAGACTTCTTTAAAAGTTGTTCAAGGGTCTTGGGGAAAGATAATGTTGGCTTGTAGTTGTTTAACTTGACACTTGCTTGCAAATTCCAGTGGGGAAGGAAAATGAAAATGAATTGTAACG